GGTAGGTGCGCGGGTGAGGGTGTGCTGGGGCTCCGCCAGCCGCGGCGGGTACCCCCAGGGCCTGTGGGGTGGGAGGGCCGCTGCCGCCTCTTCTTCTTCCTCCTCCTCCTCCTCCTCCCTGAGTGGGGCGAGAGGTCTCCGCCTCCTCGTCCTGAGTCCGGCCGGAGCTGAGGCTTGGCTTTAGGCTCTAGGCACGGGGACTGCTGCAAGGAGGGGTGAGCCTCTTCTGGTAGAGGCCTTGAGGGGGAAGGTCAGGTATCTGCCCTCCGCTTTCTCTTCTGGACTGGAGTTACCTCTCACTGTCTCCCTGCCTGCAACTTCTGTGGAATTTGAAGGATTCCCTGGCTAAGCAGCAGCTTCTGGAGAGAGAGGCTGGTTTAGTTCCCTTCACATTGGGCTGATTCCAAACCTACTGATAAAAGCCAAACCTGTTAAGATAGGGGTTGACTTCACTCCCCATGTGTTATCCCTCAAAACCATTACATTGGTTTGTTTGGAAGACAGCTAAAACATCGTTCTAGGGTATGGATTAGCCTTTTTTTTTTTTTTCTTTATGGTGCAATATGTTTACTTTTGAGAATGTTTCAGTTGCTCCTTTTACAGTCGTTTTCTCCCTTCCTTAAATCTTAGGCCAGTCAGGTGTGTTGTGGCAGAAAAACTCTTCTAAACTAGGAGCTGCAGTTCTGAAAGAGGCTGACAGCAGCTGGAGAAGTGACTGTCTCCCAGAAAAGCATCAGAGGAGTGAATTTTGAGTTAACAGTAGTGTTTTATTTTTACTCTAATAGCAGGAAAAATGGGGAGGGATGGGAGAGAAAGGGAAAACCTCTGGGGTTTTGCAGGTAGAAGTATGGAACTTGCAGCTCTGAGGAAGACTACAGTGGCAGAAGGTATGTTAGGGAATAAAACGGTAACTTCAGAATACCTGTAATTGGAAAAAGGTGGACTGTGTTGACTAAAAGCTCTGAGGCTGCTGTATGCATGTAGAGGGGTAGTGCTGCGATGATAAGCTTACTGCCTGTGGCAGGGGGATTGGACTAGATGATTTTTCAAAGGCCCCCTCTGCCCCAAATGATTCTATAATTCTGAACTATAGCTAATGACATGCTCTATTCTCCTGAAATACTTAATTTTCATGACCTGTTGCTGTAACCCAGTATGTCAAGGGAATGTTTATTAGTATGTATTATGACTTTTCTATGGCCCCTCTTATCTCCCTTGCCTTGATTTCATGTGAAAAACCTGACTGTGTTTTTCTTGTTGAAGTCAGATTTCCTACAGCTGAATGGTATGAGCTGGCCCCCTTACCTCTCTTGCCCTGATTTATTACACCTGACTGCATTCTGGTTGTGGCCAGTTTTGTACACCTGAGTAGCAGCAGCCAAGGGCATCCTACTGACAAAGCTTTCCTGAGGCATAGCAATGCATATTCTGTGTTGTTCTACAGATTGTATACACAAATTACCTTGGGCTATATATCTTTGTGTTACATGTGAATTTACAGCAGTTCCTACAAAACGGATTTTCTAATTTTTCAGGCTGTTTTCTTTCGGTGATGAGTTTGCTCCAACCCCTTCTCCCCTTGCTTCTATTTCAGTCAGTAGCTGTCTGCTGCTCCATCTTTTCTTTATATTTCGGAGAAAAATCCTGTAACTTGATTAGGACTTCAGCATACCTTTCCTCTGTTTTGCCTATGTCACTGAGCTGTTTATTTTGAGGTCTGAGACTTTTTGGTTTCTGTGCTACAGAGTATTTTGAGTTTGGACCTTTTATTGTCTAGCATAATTCCTTAGATCTTCAGCTTGGTTTTTAATCTAGCCTCTCAGCTGCTGCTCTGTATTCACATACTTGCTGGCCTTTTGCTGCTGTTGAATGCTGCAGAGAGGGGCAGAACCTCATGGGGCTGCCTCTGTGTCTCCTCACAGTTCTTCCTCAAATCACCTGTGCAGAAACAGGTTCATTCCAAGCCCTTGTGCTGTCTGTGATCTCTGGTGTTGCCACTGATAGAATTTATCACTGCCTCTAGTGAAAGGAGGATAAATTACTACCTCCCACAAGTCCTTTCTCTATGATTTTCCTGAATTCCAGTTCTGGAATATTGGGGGGGAGGATTGACACAAGCAGTTCCTCTGGGGCTGAATGAGGTCTTGACAGTTTTTGCCTGAGGCTTGTCTAGTCATGTTGTCTTCCTCTGTTTAAAATGTTACATCCTGCTTTATTGCTTAACTCTACCCTGTTGTAGTGTCTCGTAGTTGGAGACAAAAATCAGAGCTCTGGTGTTGCTAGGTATTCAAATATATGTTAAGTTGATTTTGATAAAGGATGTTTAAGAGTCGGCATGTTCGTACAGGAAATAGACACAGAAGGTAGCAGTGAAGTGGTAGGGATCAATATAATAAATAAAAAGCAGATAATAAGCATATCTTAGTCCTGTGCCCCAAAAGTTAGTTTCTCCTCTTCTGGGAAGGAAATCAGTCCTCCTTAATCTCTCTGCAAACAGCTGCTGCTTTCTCACTGGTGCCGCTTTTTTCCCCTCTGCTCACCAAAACTTTGTTTATAAATCCAACTGTTAATAGCACCCCTTTGCCATCAGCAGAGGTCATGGCAGATCGGCTTGGCTAAGGATATGCAGTGGAGTTGTAGAAACAGTCCCAGCAAAGGTACTGGGTGTGCTGTGGTCGAGATCCCACTACTCCTCGTACCATTTGAAAGTGGAGTCTAGGACCAAGTAAAGCTGCTCCAGCTAGAAAATGTGACGATAATTCAATGTGAGTTGTGATCCCTCTTGCCTTCCCAACCAACTCTCTTGCTCCCCTCCACTCCTCAAGGCTACAGGTCTGTAGTTCTTTTAAAACTGAACTGTGTCATTCTGGAGACGTTTTACCTCCAGCCTTGCATCTTCATCTCCCCATCGCACTGATTCATTCAGGCTGCCGCGTGCCTCCTGACTGCAGCTTAGACTTACCCTTCTAGAAGACAACTATTCTATGGTATTATTAAAGAAATTCAATGTTCTTAAGGCTCTCTTCTCTGTGCCAGGCCCTCTGCTGTCTCAGCTTTGAGTAACACAAGACCTGTGTTCATTAAATACTAAATCTTGCTGGCTTTTGCCAAGGTCAGGTGTAAGCTTTTCTTTTTACTGTGAACAAATGGGTGTGAGTTTCTTTCCAGGTCCTTTTGTTGGAGTGCAGGCAGCTGCCAGAAGGCGTGTGCCTTCTGTTCCTAAACTTAGCTCCTTGCTAACAACCACCCATAAAGGCAAATGAGAGCCAGGAAGCCAGAGCTGCAATAATGGGTTTTAGCAGAAATGCCAAGCTGGGCATTAAGCAGGCTCCTGTGGTGCAGAAACAGAGCTCTGGGGTGCGGAGCTCAGAGGTCTTGTAAAGTCAGTGAACGTGTCAGACACTAGACAAAGCTTGCAATTAGTCTTCTCTGAGATTTTTTTTTTTTTCCCAAAGAACAGAAAAGAGATCACTTGCCCAAGGCAAATGGAGTCAAGGGCAGGTGGTGCACCTGGGGCCTGGACCTGCCAGTGAGGCAGAGCTGTATGGCCCTTGAACATCTACTCTCTCCTTCGCAACAGTCCCAACACCGTACTCTTCAGGGTCCTGTTGTTTATAAGCTTTAAGTCTTGACTTCTTAATTTTTTTATAAGCTGAATATTTTACTTCTCTGGTCTGAGGGTCTGATAGAAAACTCATGAGCCTGCTTACTGCCTTACACCTGTGTTTAGTTGAAAACCCAAGTGCTGAGACAGGCTGTTGAAGATCTGGTGTTCCACCTGCCCCCATAAACAGTGTGGCTTGAATTCTGCTGCTGCCTGTTGCAGGGATGCTTGTTTGCTCTCCAAGGGCCCCTGAAGGATGTAGCTAAATAAACTTGTGTTATTGATTTCCTGTGTTCAGGGTCAGTGGATAGCATCTAGTGCTTCAGGACAGAGAAGACTTAATTAAGGGAGGATTATTGGGCTAAGATATTACCTCCGTACAGACCTTGAAACACTGGGTTGGAATCCTGGGAGGGGTAGTTGAGTCTCTACTGTTAGCAGAGGCCTCCTGAAGCTCTCTGACAGATGTCACAGCTGATCCTGTCCTGGGACAAGGGGCGGGCTGGATGGCTTCACATTGTCCCTGTGCTTTTCATTCAGCAAAGGCAGCTGCTCTGCCTTCCCTTGCCATGGCATTAGGAGACAATCTGGTGTGACACCCTACAGATGATCAGCTTCTTCCCTGAGGTGTGTGGTGTGATTGCCCTGCTGATCCTGTGGAACAGTCATAATTTGCTACCATGATGTTATATGCTCCTTATATGCTCCTGGCCCTGGTTTTTGTTCTTGGTGTCTGCCTCTGGCAATGTGACTTATACAGACAGATCATAGACTTCATAACAAATGAACTTTTTAATTGGCTGTGTGTTGCTTTTTAAACTTTATACTGTTTCCTTGGTCACATTTGTGAGCTGGCCATGAGGTCTTTCTACCTGCCTCACAGTGTTTAAAGGATGAAATAAGTACATTTAAATTTGTCTCTCTTGGCTGAAGTCCTTGAACAAATACATCGCTAGGCTTGAGCCTTCAGTCATAGAGAACATATCTGCTCTTGACAGGGGACAGTCCCTCATGCTCTGTCTGCTCTTCCAGAGGCCATACACCTTATTTCTTACTGTTCCAGTCTCTGGAGCCTGCAGGGAATCAGATTCAGTTCTTCTATGGTGTTCTCCTCTTAAACTTTGAAACCTCCTCTGTCTTATGTGGGAAGGTGCTGGCTCTCTTGTTAACCCAGTAACAGATGGGAGGTTGGGGATTTCTTTTCCCTTGGCTTCTGATCTAGCTGTAGTAAGTGAAGCTTGCACAACCCACTGTCTTACGCTGCCTTGGGAAGTGATCTGCAGAGGTTGGGGTGGGTGGGGAAGATAGTAAAAGTGATGCTGAACTTGAGATACAACAGCAAGAGGTCTGGTTTTGCTCAGGACAGAGGCCTTGGGCAGGAAGCTGCTTGTAGCTCAAGGTAGTGATGCATTGGTGGCTTCAACCTTGTCTCATCAATTTGGTGAGGCCCATTTTGAGCCATTTTATTGCCCTGTGAGCCATCTGCACAGTATAAATGGTCAGTCCTGCTTGCAGGAGAGCCTTAGTGAATGTTTCCTTGGTGGGAAAACTCTTGAGAGTAAAAAGTATGTCTGAAAAGGATTTATTGTTTTGGTTTTAACATTTAGAAACTCCTGTGAGTAGACAGTGGTTCAGAGCTGGAGTGGGGAGAGCCACTTGGCTGCTTTATAGCAGAGGGGTTCACATTTCAGAGGCTCTGCTTTTCTTTGGTGTTGGTCTCGGGCAGCTTTCTGGAGGAAGGGAGTTCTTTCAGATAACACAAGTTGTCTTTGGCCTGTTGTTTCCATGACACATTTCTGAAACTGAGAAAAGCCTGACAAGGGTGGCTTGACAGTGCCCTGGGCATTGACTGAAACAAGAAACTTTGCCATTTGTTCAGATGTTAAGCTCTAGTCTCAAGGGTTCCCAGTGTGCTGAGCTGTAGGTTTCACACATTGGTTTGTGGAGAGGAAAGTTTGCTAAGTGCAGGGCTTCAAGAGGGTGAATGCTGTGGTTTTTTAATAAAAAAAAATTTGGGTGTGAACTTGTGCTGTCTGGTGGTTATTCTGAACTCTGGAGGAATCTTGAGTCAAAAATTAGCTCTTCATTGTTCATTTTGCAAGGAGGAAATGTGCATGTACACCCCACACACACACTT